CTCGGCCCCAGGGCGCTGCTCGCCGTGCTCTTCGGCTTCTGGATGTGGAGACCTCGCCCCTTCGTGCCCGCGTGAGCCAGCATCCCCCTCCGCCGCTGGCTCTGGACCTCGGTTCACACCCGAGGATGTGGAGGTGTTGACGTGGATGTCAAAAAAAAAAAAAACCTTCGTGCCCGCGTCGCGCGCAGGCTCCGCAAGCGCGCGGGCCCTCGCCCCCAGTTGCTCGAGAGGATCGATTGGGGGCGCCATCTTCCCTGCGATCAAGCGTTGCCCGTGCTCGCGGGCATGGGCGGCGCTGGAGACACGGTGCAACGGCTGGCTCACCTCCTCTCGGATATTACATGCTGCTGGCGTTCGATGGTATGCCTTCGGATGCTTGGACCAGCGCGATTAGTTTGCCATTATCTTCGTTGCCCGAGCTTCCATAAGGCGATGGAGGTGGCTCTTGCTCGCCCTGTGCCGCGTGATGTGATGGAACAGTGCGTTCTCGTGAATCAGTCGATGTCAGCTTTTGCGTACCTGGCTGCTGTTCAAGCCGCCTACAATTTTTGTCAGACGATCAGCCTCGTGGCCACTGTCTCTTGGAGAGGTTCGCGGTGCTGCTGTAGCAGGCGGAGCCGCGTGGCTTCTCGGCTGAGGAGCGGGCGAGGCCGGCTCCAGTGCGCACGCGGACTTGCTCCAGCTCGACGTCTTCGGTTTCGAGTTCGTCTTCCACGTCGCCCGCCGCGTCGCGCTCGCCTTCGACCCGCCCCGAGTCGAGGGCGGCCTCCCCCTGTTTGCCCCCGAAACTCACATCCAGATGTGGCGCACCGCTGTCTCCTCAGGCTGAGGCCGCCTCTCTTCTCCGCCTTCTGCCTGACCCCCCTAGGCTTGCTCCCGGGTGTTCCTCTCCATTGATTTCTGCGACCCTGATCGCGACCGTTCCCCGCTCTGTTTCGCCTGATCCCCATCGTTCTGATCTGCAGCTCACGTCACTTGTTCCTGGCGCCGCTATGTTGCCCCCCCGCCGTTCCGTCGCTCCCGAGACCTGCTGCAGCCGCTGCTTGCTTTTCGCCCCCTCCCCCTCGCAGTTAAACAACGGCTATTTCCGTCGACTCGTCGACGAGGCGCCGCGCTCACCGCCGCCGCGCGGGCATGGGGCGACTGACAGTCCCCCCCCTATTTACGATCGTCTCGCCGGCGGGACTTCCCAGGAACCCGCGAACATGGCGACAGTTGCGTACTTCGCAGCCCCCCATGGAGCCGAGAGGTCTCAACTGGATCTCCGCTTCCCCCCCGCTCCGCGGGGCCTCCCACGAGCCCGCGGAAGTGGTGACAGTTGCGCTTTTCGCAGCCCCCCAAAGAGCCCCGATGTCTCAACTGGATCCCTGCGTCCCCCCGCTGCGCAAGACTTTTCAGGATCCCGCGAAAGCGGCAACAGTCGCGCGCCTCGCAGAACCCCAAAGAGCAGCGAGGTGTCATCCGGATCCCGCGTCCCCCCACTCCGAGCCCGCGAAAGTAGCGACATTTACGCAATTCGCACCCCCAGGGAACGGCGAGGTCTCAATTGAATCCCGTGCCCCCCACTCCGCGGGACCTCCCAAGAACCCGCGAAAGTGGCGACATTCGCCTGGGGAGACGCGAGGTCCCTACTGGATCTCCGCCTCCGCCCCCACTCAGCAAGGCCTCCCACGAGCTAACGAAAGTGGCGACAGTTGTGCACTTCGCAGCCCCCTAGGGAGCTGCGAGGTCTCAACTGGATCCCCGTGTCCCCCCATTCCGCGGGACCTCCCAGGAACCAGCGAAAACGGCTAACTTTAATTTGTGCACTTCGCACCCCCGGGGAGCGGCGAGGTCTCAAGAGGATCCCCGTGTCCCCCCTCTCCGCGGGACCTCCCAGGAGCTTACGAAAGTGGCGACAGCTCGCACTTCGCAGCCCTTCAAGGAGCAGCGAGGTGTCGACTGGACCCCCGTGTCCTCCCATTCCGCGGGGCCTCCCAGGAGCCCGCGAAGTGGCGCGCCCTAGAAAATGGCGACAGTCGTGAGCCGCGAGGTCTCGATTGGAGAGAGGTTGAAGCATCAACCTGAAAAGTTCACCGAGTGTTGAATGGCATGCAGGGTGGAGGACATGTGCTATACCTCCGCCGGTGGTGGCGGGCGCATGGTGCCAACCTTTGGCTCCAGAAGGGCCCATGGTGCCCCTCAGTGCCCACCCCGCCGAGCCCACAGGGACTCCGCACCCCCCGCTGTGGCGGGGAGGCGGGTGGACGGGCCGCCCCCCCCCTGGCGTCGCGCGTGCTACGCCAGGGGGTGGTTCAGGAGGAGAAACAACACACAGACACAATGAATCGTCGATCCCCCAGAAGATATGGGAAAATATGGGAAGTGGGGGGGAAGACGAAAACCCAAGAAATATGAGGAAATGTGGGGAATCCTTTTATTTGTGTGTATTTAGTTGTGTGTCCCAGGGCCCCTTGCCAGTGGTGCTGGGGATTGCTGCGCGGATCGGCACTGAGCCCCTCCCTCCCGCCCCTCCCCGGGGATGCAAAGGCCCGCGAAGGCCCCCTCCTCCACCTCCTCCTCCTCCTCCTCCACCTCCCTCCTCCTCCTCCTCCTCCTCCTCCTCCTCCTCCTCCTCCTCCTCCTCTCCTCCTCCTCCTCCTCCTCCTCCTCCTCCTCCTCGCTCCTCCTGCTGCTCCTCCTCTTCCTCCTCGTCCTCCTCCTCCTGCTCCTCCTCCTTCTCCTCCTCCTCCTCCTCCTCCTGCTCCGCCCACCCCCTGGGGCACGTCAACATCAGTTCAGCAGCCGCAGAAAGGGGGTCCCCTGTGACAACCATTGCCCGGGCATGCGGCTTCCTGCCACTGCTCACGGCCATGGCTCTGCGCAGCCAGAGCTCGTAGGTCGCGGGATGTTTACTCCACGGAGGCGGCGTGCGCAAGTCACGGAATGCCCAGTCGGAGGCGGCGTGCGCGTGTCACGGAATACCGCGGCGTACGCGTGATGCAGGGGCAGAACTCTTCGGCTCTCTGGCTGATGTCTTTCCTCACCTTCGCGGTGCAGAGGGGCGTGCACCGACGGGGCATCTCCGCATGGCATTTTTTCCGGGCCTCCATGAACTCATCCGAGCCGAAGGGCAAGTCCAACATCCCGCGGGACTTCCCAGGAACCCACGAAAGTGGCGTCAGTTGCGCACCTGCGCAGCCCCCCAAGGAGCCGCGAGGTCTCAACAGGATCCCCGTCCCCCCCCACCCAGCGGGACCCCCAGGAGCCCACCAAAGCGGCAACAGTTGCGACACTTCGCAACCCTCCAGGGACCAGCCAGGCAAGAGGCAAGAAGAGGAGGCGGAGGAGGAGACTTGGAGCGCACAGTGCGTAATTACCCAAAACGAGAACGCAGCACAGGAGGGCTGGGACGAATCATGTTTTGCCTCGGCGACTTCTCATCCGCTGCTTTTGTCGCCACCCCTCATTCCCCCGTCCCTCTTCCCCCTCCCCCACTCACCCTTTCCCTGGCACAGATACTGATACCGCTGTTCTTCCTAAGGAGCCCTTGTCGCCGCGCGTGGATACGCTTCGAGGTGCTGACCAGAATGCGCCCCAGGAGAGGTAAGGTCCAGGGGTCCAAGGAACCAGGGTCCAGTGTCAGACAGGGGCCGAGGACGAGGAGGAGGAGAAGGAGGAACAACATCAGGGACGACGACGAGGACGTCCACTGAGACGAGGACGAGCCTCAAAGAGGTTCGCAGCCATCGTGTTCCGTGCGTCGCGTGGCTGGGACCTCAACAAGAACCCAAGCGCGCGCGAAGCGCGCGCGTGGTTGTAGTACCTATACATACACATAGATACACACATGTACATAATCGGTGTCATTGCGCATACGTTTTCTGAGCCTACTGCCACTGACTGGGCTCATCCTCCGACCCCGTACTGCTCCTGCTCTGCCTCCGGCTCCCGACGCTGCAGGCCCTCCGCCGCTGCCGGCGCCCTCTCTCGCTCGAGCGGGGTGCAGCCCTGGGCAGCCCTGGGCCGCGGAGGCGCCGGGACCATCCGCCGGCGTGCCCTGCCGCGGCGCCCCGCGCGATGGCGGCCGCTGCGCTGGACGCGCCACGAGGCCTCGAGCCTGAAGCTAAAGGGGGAGGACGAGGAGGACGAGGAGGAGGAGGAGGAGGAGGAGGAGGAGGAGGAGGGCGAGGAGGGAGGAGGAGGGAGAGGGGGAGGAGAACGAGGAGGACGAGGAGGACGAGGAGGAAGGAGTCTGCGCGCTGCCGGCGAGGGCCCCCGGCCGCACCCGCCCCTGGAGCTCCGCGGGGGCATCCGCAGGATTTGATGGGTCAGAGGGGCATTTCCTCCTCGTGACTTCTCGCCTTCCTGCTGCTGGTCCTCCTGCTACCCCACCTCGTCCTCGGGACGCAGGCCTGGTTCGATCGGGCCTTAAGGATGTGTCGGTGCCACCTCCACCCACTTCTTCCCAAGGTCATGGGCTGCGGACAACTGCACAGAGAGCTCGACGTAGTCCCTGACCCGCTGACTCGCCCAGATCAATTCCCTCCACTGTTGGCCCCAGCGCGTCCGTAGGGATTCCACTCTCTCCCACATTCCTTCCTCATCCCTCCCGTCATCTTCCATACCCTGCTCTCCCCTGCCGTGCCATTCCCCCCCCTGCCCTCTCCTTCCGTCCCAGTGCTTCCCTCCTGCCTGCCACCCACCCCCTGCCCCCCCCTTCCCTCCCCCCTTCCCCCGCCCCCAACCCCCATCTATTCCCGGGAGGCGGGAAGGGACGGGGGCAGAAGGCCAGGGCCAGCAAGCCTCTCCCCCCCGCCTCCGCCCTCTTCCTCCTCCTCCTCCTCCTCCTCCTCCTCCTCCTCCTCCTCCTCCTCGCCCTCTCCCCTCGAGAGGCGGCGCGGTGACTTTGGGGCCTCCCAGGCGGCGGGCCCGCCGCCGGCTGCGGCGAGGCCCCCTCCGCGCCGTTCGAGCCCCCGCCGCGGGCCGGCGCAGCAGCGCCCGCCGCCGCGCCCGCGGAGGCGCGGGCGGCCGCGGCACCCGCGGAGGCGCTGCCCGACGGGCCGGAGGCGTCGCCGGAGGCCGCCCCGGCGTCCCCTGGGGGCGGCTTCGCGTCCCCGCACGGCGGGTCGCCGCGGAAGCCGCCGGGGGACGAGGCGGGCTGGACTCGTCGTCGCCGTCGTCGTCGTCGTCGTCGTCGTCGCCGCCGTCGTTCGAGGTTTTTCCGATGTCTGCCGCGGAAGCCGCGGAAGCCGCCGACGGGACGAGGGACCGCAGGGGGGCCGTGGTCTTCTGGGCCCCTGCTGTGGGGGCCTCGGCGCCTCATACCCAGACCCCCTCGAGCAATGACAAAAATCATGATGCGAGGCGTTTCGCCATTTTCGGCCCCTGGGGGCCCTCGCCGGGCCTCGGGACCGGCAACAAAACGATCCAGGGTAAGAAACCAATCCCATGGATCGAGACCTCTGGGGGTCGACGTGATGAAAAAATCATGACACCGGGGGGTCTGGGTCTGGTCGCGCCGGGGCGACGGGTGCCCCCGGCAGGGGGGGCAGGGAGCACAGCTGCCCGGCGGCTCGGCGCGCGCGCGAGGGAGTGTTCGAGATCCGCGACTTCACGACGGCCTCGTCCTTCGAGCGGCTGTCGCACCGGATGTCGATGGCCGCGAAGAAGTGGGAGGAGACGCTCAGAGCAGCCGCCGGGATCCAGCAGGGCCCGGTGCCTGTCGAGGGCCAGGACCGCGCGGAGATGCTGGAGGAGTTCGAGCACAACGACTTCCGGTACCAGCTGCTCTTCCAGCTGTTCTCCCCGACGGGTGTGGCTGCGCAGGACGGTCAGCCCGCCGGCGTCGAGGCCGTGCCCTCTGCACCGCAGGACCGCCTGGGGCTCCACACGTTCCCCTCCCGGGCCCACAGCCTGCAGCGGTGGTTCGGGGTGCGGCACTTCGTGACCGCCGGAGTGCACGAGCAGAACTTCGACCCAGACTCCGCGCGGACGGTGCTGAGCGCCCTGGTGCTGGCACTCCAGCACGTGTCCTCGCCGTTCGCGTTGCCGCTCAGCTGCTTCGTCCCCATCGAGGACGGCACCGGCCGGGGCAGGCGGCGGTACCTGGGCGAGCTGCTGCACGGGGGCTGTCGGACAATCGGTGTCGCCTCCGGCGGGTCGCCGTTGCCCCCTGCCTCTCTTGGAAACGCCTAATTACGTGGCTCAACGTAGGACAAAAGTCTGGCCAGGCGTTTTCCCCGTGTTTTCCCCTGGCCGTTGCGGAATCGATGAGGGGCGAATTGGGCCCTCTTGGGTGCCTGGGGCTTGCCGAGGCCATCTCGGGAATAGTTGGGGGACTGCCTTGGCGGCCTGGGGGGCAATTTTCTGGGCGTCTTGGGGCCTCTTGCACGCATATTTCGTAATCTCACAGATCTCGCTGAATTCGACTGTCCTTGTGGCCTCTTGGTCTCCTTTGGAGCCGTCTTGGGGAGCAGATGTGGTTCCTTAAGTGCTGTATTATCGCTTGCCCTTGGGCTATTCTCCAGTTCTGCCAGCAGGGTTCCCGGCGGGAGTGGCGCGGGCAGCTTTGCGAACCATTGGCGTCTTCGCGCTCTGCCGCCTGCACGGCAGTGCGTGTCACGAATTCTTGCGGCCTCTCGAATTGCAGGAGGCGTTTCCTGCATGCGTGAAGGAGGCCGCCCAAGGCCATCCAAAGGCGCTGTCTTTCCTCGCACTGGCACGCAAGAGGCCCCGCGATGCACAGTGAGTTTCTGTTCGAGGGTACGGTTCTCTGTCGAGGGATGTCTCTCATTTGCTGATCTCCCCAGCCTGGTTCAGCTCGCGCACGTTCAGCTTTGTAATCCGTGTAGTCTTCGAGGGTCATTTGTTGTAAGTTCGTCCGTTGCGTGATGTATCTTGTTCGCACTGAGTTTCCTGCTTTCTCCCTCTCGCCCTCTCTCCTCCCTTCCCAGACAATGCAATATACATAACACATACGTGTCTAACGCTCTCGATTGCACTTCTTGGGTGGTATATCGCTAGCCGTGTCAGTCTCGGGGGAAGTACGCTCGCAGTTTGTTCCGTCAATCTTGTTCTCGCCCACCTGGGCAATCAGTCGTTGTCTACCACGCTGCCCACTCCCGGTCCGTTTCCTCCTCCTCCTCCTCCTGCATCTTTCTCCTCCTTTTGCTCTTCCTCCTCCTCCTCCTCCTCCTCCTCCTCCTCCTCCTCCTCCTCCTCTTTCTCTTCCTCGTGAGTCCCTTGGGATGTGCGAGTCTACCCGGCGACTTACGGCTCAGGTCTCGGCCGCATGCGCAGGACTGCCTTGCTACGTTGACGTGGCTACGCCCGTTTCGGCTTGTTTGCGCTGGCCCAACGTTTCGCGTGATTGCTCGCCTATGGCAGGTTGGCTGTCAGGTGGTTCTGGGCTTGCCTAGCGCATGTGGTTGGGCACGCTTGGTCCGGCCAGGGAGAAACAGGGCTGCCCTTGGGCCACCTTTCGGCAGCCTGGGTGCCATGTTCGGGACACTCTCGAGGCCAGCCTGGACCGTCTCAGGGTCTCCTTCAGCCCAGTCCGGTCTCTCTTGGAGCTGCCCGTGGCCGAAATCTTCGGGGGAGAGAGAGAGGGAGAGTGAGAGAGAGAGAGAGAAAGAAAAAGCACTGGAGTACAACACGAGTGTTCAACATGTAACATGTAGGTCGCGTGAGGCCTCTCCTGGAGCCGACGGATCGCCTCTTGTGATGCCTCTTAGGCCAGTTTGGGACTCTTAGGCTCCTCTTGAGGGCTCCTGGTTCATCTTGGCAGCCTCTTGGGCAGGCTCCTTGGGCCCTCGTGACCGCTCTTTGCTGTCTTGGGAACGCCCTGGAGGCATAGTGGAGTCTCCCTTGAGACGAAAACCGCTGGGGACGCAAACAGCGGACGTATCCAGAGGGGTGCTCGAGATGTTTGAACTTGGAAGTCGAAGACGAAGGATCATTGTATTCGCCATGGCCTCTAATGTTTTTGTGAGGGCGGCAAGCCAAATACATGCAACTCAAGCCAGAATCACCACGCGGCCCTGGGAGCGCGGCCCAGGGCGCGTGGCCCTGGTATCGATGATCCTATGTATGTTAGGAGGGTTGAGAACTTGTGAGTGCACGTGGTGCTGGCAGAGCGGTTCTGAGGGCGAGGACCCATGGTACTTCATGGGGAGTTTGGTCCTAGGAGCCGTTTTGTTGTTCCAGGGATGTTAGTTCTTTGAGCGGGGGATCGTTGCATCTTGTAGCGGGCATCACCACAGGGGACGAATTTCCTCAATGTTGTGTTCTGGATCGTGGCCTTGTGGGCGATAGAACAAGTTGTGGCCCGATAATTCGTCGTGTAACGAGGGACCGACCGCTCGTAGTCTACGCCCGTTGCTCTGGGAGCAAGGGGACATAGTATTTCACAAGAGCGTATCGAAGACGCTTACGGCGAATCACCGCCGCCCCTTGCCTTGTGGAATCGCCCATGTGGCCGAGCGTTGTGGCAAGAGGTCTGCCAAGTTATCAGGCCATATGTTCCCCCAGCCGTTGTAGAAACCCGTCGGGGAACACTTGGGGGACGATGGCGGGGAAGATCAGGAGGAGGAGGAGGAGGAGGAGGAGGAGGAGGAGGAGGCGGAGGGGGCATCTTGGGAGCCTCTGGGGGCACTCTTGGGGCCTCCCGGGGGTCTCCTGGGAGCCTCTTGGAGGGAACTTGGGGGCCTCATTGGGCCTTTGGGGGGCCTTTGGGGGCTTCTCGGGGGCCTCTTTGGCCGTCTTAGGGTATTCCTGGCCCGTCTGACGCCGTCAGAAGCCTTCTTGAGGGCCTCTCTGGGCCGACTTGGGGCCCTCTTGGGGTGCTCAAGGACCGTCTTGGAAGCCTTGGAGGCTACTTGGGCGATATTCGGGCGACGTTATCTGGGGGCTCTTGGGCAGTCTCGGGCCGTTGGAAGGCAGAAAAGATGCAGCTGCTAAAAAGCATTCAAAAGCCTACGGAAATCAATAATGGTTGCTTGTTCGGGCTTTCCTGGAAGCCCTCTTGGGAGCCTCTTGGGCCATCTTGGAGACCTCTTGGGCGCCTCTTGGGTCGTCTTGGGCCATCTTGGAGCCATCTTGGGCCGTTTAGGTGGCCTTCTGGCCCATCTGGCGCCGTCGGACGCCGTCTTGAGGGCTTCTCTGGGCCGACTTGGGGCCCTCTTGGGGTGTTCCAGGGCTGTCTTGGAGGCCATCTAGGGCATCTTGGAAGCCTCCTTGGCCGTCTGTTGGGCGATCTTTGGGTGCTCTTGGGCCGTCTTGGGCCGTCGGAAGACCGACAAGACGCAAATGCCAGAAGAAAGCATTCAAGAACCTAAGGAACATCCATACTATTGGCTTCCTGGAGGCCCTCTTGGAGACCTCTTGGGCCGTCTTGGCGACCTCTTGGGGGCCTCTTGGGCCGTTTTGGGCCATCTTGGAGCTATCGTGGATCCAAGACGTCCTCCAAGAAGGCCCGAAAGGGTCAAAATGGCCTCCAGACGGCCAAGCTGACCTTCAAGATGCCCACGTGTTCCCCGAACGCTTTCCAAACCGATTCGGGGAACACATGGTCCGATAGCTTGGCAGGTCTGGGCTCAACGTTCGGCCACATAGGCGCTTCCAAAAAGGCTAAGGGCGGCGGTGATTCGCCGTAGGCGTCTTCGATCCGCCGCCCCCTGCTGATTTATCATAGGGGTGCCTGGCGTGCTGGGCCCTCTGGGTGTTGGCGTTGGCTCTTTTTCCAACAAAGAACCCGTGGGGCTTCGGCCCGTCCCGCGGGCCACCCGAAACGGATTTCAATCCCGGAAAAATCCCCCAGGACGGCTCAGTATGGCCTCCAAGATGGCCACGTTGGCCCAAGATGGCCTCCAGGATTGTCCAAGATGGCCTCCAAGTCCTCCCAAGACGGTCCAAGACGGCCTCCAAGACTGCCCACGAGAGTCCAAGATACATCCAAGTTCGCCCAAGAAGCCTCCAAGACGGCCCAACACGACCCAAGAGGTCTCCAAGAGGTCCTCCAGGAGGGCCCGAAGAGGCCAACATCATTTGTTTCCTTTGGTTTTTGACGGATTTTTGCATTTGCTTCTTCTCGGCATTCCGACGGCTCAAGACGGCCCAAGAGGCCCCCAAGATCGCCCCAAGATCGCCCACTGGGCCTCCAAGATGGCCCCATGACGGCCCAAGAGGCCCCCAATACAGCCCCAAGAGGGCCCCAAGAGGCATCCAAGACGGCCAAGATAGCCTCCAAGACGGCTAAGCTGACCCCCAAATGCCTCCAACACGGCCCACGATGCACCCAAGACGGCCTGAGATGGCCTTCAGATGGCCTAAGACGGCCCAAGAGGCCCCCAAGAGGCCTCCAAGGCGGCCCAAGAGCCCTCCAAGAGGTCCTCCAGGAGGGCCCGAAGAGGCCCAAGTCATGAATGTTCCTAAGGTTTTTTGACAGAGTTGGGCATTTGCTTCTTCTCGGCATTCCGACGGCCCAAGACGGCGCAAGAGGCCCCAAAGATCGCCCAAGAGGCCTCCAAGATGACCCCATGACGGCCCAAAAGGCTCCCAAGACGGCCCCACGAGGGCCTAAGAGGTCTCCAAGACGGCCAACATGGCCTCCAAGACGGCTCAGGTGGCCCCAAGATGCCTCCAAGACTGCCCAAGATGCACCCAAGACGGCCTAAGATGGCCTCAAGATGGCCCAAGAGGCCCCCAAGAGGCCTCCAAGACTGCCCACAAGGCGTCCAGGAGGTCTTCCAGGAGGGCACGAAGAGGCCCAAATCATTGATTATCCTAAGGTTTTTTGACAGACGTTGGTATTTGCTTATTCTCGGCATTCCAACCGCGCAAGACGGCGCAAGAGGCCCCCAGGATCGCCCAAGAGGCCTCCAAGATGGCCCCATGACGGCCCAAAAGGCTCCCAAAACGGCCCCAAGAGGGCACCCGAACGGCCCAAGAGGCCTCCAAGACGCCAAAGGTGGCCTCTAAGAACCCCTGATGTGCCCCAAGAGGGCCCCAAGACAACCCAGACAGGCCCCCAAGACGGCTTCCGACGGCGTCAGACAAGCCAGGAACGCCCTGAGACGGCCAAAAAGGCCCCCAAGAAGCCCCCAAAGAAAGGCTCCCAAAAATCCTGCAGAGGCCCCCAGGAAG